ATCTGCCTTCTTTCATGAAAAAATTATCCAATGAACTTAGCAGATACATATTTCCAAAGAATCACAAGACACTTAAGGCACCGTGAATTGAAATGAATGTGTATTTGAATGCCCAATTAGTTAAAGAAAACTCAAAGTCAATGAAACTGAATATGTTGGATTTGAATACCATATGTCGATGTATTTTAGCCCTCATTTGGAGAAGACCAGAGGGCAGAGTTAACAGTCCCTGCCTTGCACTGGCCCCTTCTCCTGCACGAGCAGTGGGGATTAAGCAGAGAATACTTGAGAATGTTTCACAAATAACTTCCTTGGAGAGGTGCAAGTTTTTTACACATAACTTCCTTGCTGCTAATCCCTGCTTCACACTAGTAGCCACACGCGGCTCCTTGGACGACAGTTACTCAGTTGACTCAACTTCATAGGGCTCTGGAGTCAGCACGGCTGGTTTTAAAGACTTGCCAGCTCCAGGACTCTGGGCAAGTTATTTATCCTCTAGGCGTCTTGGTTTCCTCATCAATAAATTGGGCATAGTCATAGTCCTCCCTCAGAGAATCATCCTGAGGACAAAGAAGCTGTTTACGGAGGACCGGAAGAACACCTAAGAAATAACGAGGAAATCTCAAGAAAGGCCAAGTCTGTTCTCAAGGGTCCAATTTCTAGCTCTTCACTTCCCTCTCCCACCTTCTTGTGGTCTCTGCAATACCCTCGCAGGTCTTTTCAAAACTTTTCTCACAAAAATGTGAAGCTCGGTTATAGTGCAGTGCAATGGGTAGAGGACAGTTTAAAATATTACTCCTGTCAGAGGAAAGTGCAGATTTCAATCGGAGTCAAAGCCTTCAGCTAAAGGAAGCGCACCTCTAGGGCACACGCGTGGGCGTGGGACAGCTAGCGGAAGGTAGTGGGACGCTGCCCCAGGCTTCTGACCACACTGCCATTTGCCTTTCTCGGACCCTACCATAGCATGGCCCAGGGTCTAGGAATGGAGGGGGGTGAGCTCTGGGCTGGATGTCTCACAGAGGGGCTTCCAAGGCCACCAACAGGTTCCTCTGATATTCCTGCTCCTCTCAGGACACTTGAGAAACAGGCAGAAAGCGTTGTCTCTGGAGCTCACTTGGGAAGGCAGGACAGCTAGGTGGGAGTCCTGGAGGCTGACCTGTGGGGCTGCCAGGTTCTCCTCAGACCACGCGGGGAGCAACCTCGGGTTCAGTTCTGAGGCCTCCACTTTAAGGAGGACGCTGGTCATTTGCGGTCACCCACGAAAGAGCAAGAAGGATGAACAAGATAGACTTAAAACCATGGAGGGAAATTTCAACCTGGAGAAGACAAGACCAAGAGTGACTGCCATCTTTAAACACGTAGGGGCACCTTGTCCAGGAGGGGTTGCCCTTCTCCACGGATCCAAAGGAAGAACCAGGGGTGAGGGATGGTAATTTGAGGGACACTGATTTTGACTGAATGAAAAAATGAGCTTTTATGGATAGGTCGCACCTCATGAGACTGTGAACTCTCTGTCACTGGAGCCATGAAGTATAAGCAGGATAATTAGGATCCTCTTTGAAGATCTGATGGATTTTGGAATAAGTGATTATTATTGGTTTTTTTTTGCCTTTAAAAAAACTTTTTATTTGTAAATAATTTTTTCATATGTAAATAAATTTATAAAAGTGTTAAAATATATAATCAGCACAAAGAACACCTGTATAAGTTTTATCCTTATTCATCAATTTCTAGCATTTTAACCATTTGCTTTATTATTTGCATTCTCACGTGCTCTCTCTTTCTCTCTCCAACTGGATGATTTTTGGGTCCCTTCTTCTGTTGAGAGTTATGATTCTACACACCGAAGCTTCTTTCCAAGTAATGAGATTTTAGAAAAATTGAAATCCTGCTGGCGGTGCTTTTCATGGCACTTAGCATAAAATCCACGTCCGCATACATGACGATAGGGCCCTACAGAGTCTGACCCTGACCATCTCCCAGACCTCATATCTTCATTTTGATCACCCTGCTGCAGATTGGTTTTCTTTTTCTTCTTCCTCATACATGCTAAGCTCATTCCTGGCTCAGGGCCTTTGCACTTGCTAGTTCCTCTGCCTTCAGTGATCTTCGCTAGTTATCGACTGGCTGGGTCCTTCTAACACTCTCAGACCCCCGCAAGTGCCCTCCTCCAACTCCTACAAGTTACTCTATCACATTGCTTCGAGTTACCTCTTATCACTGGGTGAAATGATCTGGTTTATTTTTTCGTCACTCCCTAGAACATAAACATCACGAGAACGGGGGCCTTGTCTATGTCTTATTTGTTACCACGTCCTGAGTGCTTATGACAGAGAAATATTCAGTTACCTGCTGAATGAATAAATAAAAGAACAAATGGGCCTGAGAACATCTGATCAAGGGCTTGTTAATGCAAGGATGAATGGTAGCATTTGACAACCTACACAAAATAGAAATTGCTTAACAAACTTGAGAAAGATAAAGAGGCGGAGTATATTCTAAGTGACAGGAGGTTTGGAGAAAAGTTTTTCCAGTGGGTGCCCCATCCAAAAGAAGGTGTAGACTCTTCTCAGAGGCCAGTGTGCCTTCTGTTTCCATCTGTTTGAAAAGATTACCATAAAGACGGAAATTTGCAAGCCCTCCTGGGTGGTTGACATGGGAAGACCGGAGGGTGCCAAGGGTATTTCTACAGCTGCATGTCCTAGGAGTGAATCAAGAATGGCTCAGTTCTTTCAGAAACTAGCTGTGAAAATCTTTACCATGTTGAAATTTCTTTTAAAGGAGCTCACAGATAATCTACAGTGATGCTACAGAGAGATGGATTTTTCTATGTGTTCTTTTTCTAGGATCACTCTGGCTCTATTAGAAAGTGGTTTGACAGCCTCCAAATGAGGTGTCCATGTGATTCCACTGGAGGTGTACATGTGATTCTATTAAGAGGCCTGAGTCTTGCCCACAGGCATCCATTTCTTGTCAGGTCTAATTATTGCCAATGACCTTGAGCATTGGGTCTTTGCTCTGAGTGAAGTTTAAAGGCTTTTGAACTTGAAACTGCCTCCTTCTCAACCAGAGAAGAAAAGTCCAATATCACCTATTGTGCAAGTGGTGAGAAGTAACATGACCTGGAGAAAATGGGATGAACTGGCCCCAGGAAAAATTATTTTTAAAAAGCTTTGCTTAATTCACTTACTTACCTTGGTAAGCAAGATATAGCTACTGAACAGAGAAGAGAAATTCAGCACTTAATCAATGAGGGAAAATGCTGATTTTTAAATTTTTAGAGGCTAATACCATAAAACTAAATGAATGCCTCGAAATCAAGCTATCTGAGGGGAAGTGTGTGCAATGGATAAGAGAACCCACTCCAGAGACAGACTCGCTGCAGTGTGAATCCCAGCTCTGCAACTTAACTGCCGTGTGCCTCTAGGCAAGATATTTAACTTCTCTGCTCTGTGCCTCAGTTTGCCCACCTCTAACATAAACATCGTAAGTACTCAGCTCACGGGGATTTTAGGATTAACTGAGTTAACGTGAGTGAAGGGCTTACAACAGGACCTCCCACACTGAGCACGATGCAAGTGGTTGCTATTATTTCTTCTCTCTTACTCACCACCTCTAGTTAAAGAAGAAAATCCTGTATCTACAAAATAACTTCAGATACATCACCTAATTTTGATCCTAACAGTGCCTGGTAACATTGGCGGAACAAGCCTCTTCTTTATTTTGTAGACGATCAGTCTCAGGCTCTAGGCTGTATAGCTGATAATTGACTGAACCCTAACTTGGAACCCAAGTCACTGCCCCCAGTCAACAATCCAACTTGGAACCTGGGGATGCCTTGTCAGGAGGCACATCCCTAGAGCCTCGTGGCGAAAGCCTCCGTTAAACATGACAGAAACTTGAGTGTGTTTGAAATTTAAAAAACAGAAACAACCCCCAAACACTGAAGCATTACTTTCACTCACAAAAACAGAGATAAACAAACCTAGAAAGACTGATTATTTGCCCCATCTCATCTAAGCAAAATGTCAAAAGAAAGCGAGCAATCCAGGAGACAAATAAATTAGCTTTGTGCAAGTCCTTTCAGTGAGAACAGCCTAGAATTCTAGTAGCTGTCCAGGTAAGGGTCATCTATTTATTTTGAAACACGATACACATAATCGGAGGATTATCTTGTGCCTTCCATAGCCCATGGTTCTCAGGATTCAAGCTACTATCAGAAGAGGTCCAGCTTTGGCACGGTTGATGGCGATGCCTTACAGTAATTACTTCGAGAAATAATACACATCCTTTCATAGTTTAACGCCATCGTATCGCCCCCATCGACATCCTTTTTCATTTTCATTTTTGCCCATCACGGAGAGAAAAGGAGAGAGGCTTAATCTGATTTACAGAGGGAAAAACAACGCTGAATGTCCTTTTTTTTTTGCCAGGGGTGGGGGTGTGTGTAAGGAGAAAAGGTCAACCAGCTGGTTTTCATCTATATGCCATAATTCTCTGTTTAGTTTACACTATTAAACTCCAAAGCTTTGCTTTAATCTTAACTGTTACAGTATGCCTTCTTGCAGATCCTATCATGTCGCATCCCTGATAGGGTTTCAGACTCTGGCGAAGCACCATCCCCCAAGCTGGTCCTGGCCATATGGGTAGTGAATGCATCCAACATTTTTTCATTGGCGCCTGCATCATTATGTTTTGTCACCAATGGTTTCTCGGGTTTTCAGTAAATTGCTGCGTATACTGTGGTTTGGAGCTGTCGAAATGACGGCCTCCATCTAGCTGTATACAACCGCGTCCTCATTAGGGCCTCCCCGTCCTGTTAGCCTTTGGAGGATGACCTGACATCTGTTTGCGGAGGGCGTGTGTGTAGGGGGGAGGAAGGGAGAGGCCGTAAAAGAAAGACAGAAGGCAGGAGCAAGGAGTGTGAGGGGGAAACAGCTCCCTGGAGTCCTCCACTCTCCAAGAGTCCGGGGCAGGAGGGGATGAGGAGAGAGACGTACCTGATCTGTCTTCGCTCTGCGAATCACATCTTCGGCACAGTTCTGGGATGGTCTTCAGTGACGTGACTGAGTACTGAATGGGAAGCCAGAGGACAAAGGGAAGAAAACGACACTTTAAAACGAGAGTGTCACATTCAAATTGGCCAGAAAAAGCAAGACACAAGAAGCGATACTTGAGTACACCATGTATATATCCAGAAAGTCTGTCTAATTTTATCTGAAATGGGCTGCTTAGGGAACTGGCTGCATCCCAAGCTCCACCTAGAAGCATCGAAGTAGATGCACATTAAAAGGGGTGACATTCCCCCCCACCCGCCACTTTCACACGCAAGGTGTGGCCAAGCAGACATTCTCTCTCCCGTTACTTCTGCTACTGGTGGAAGATGGAAGGATTTTGTGGCTCAAGAGTTTCCAGAAGGTGTCCAGAATATTTGCATTTGGAATCCGAGTGTGAAGAGCCGAGGGGAGAAGGCCCCAGCTTCCGGCAGCACCCAGGGCTGCCAGGAGCCTTACCCGTGCCCATGCTGGCTGGACTACGCTAAGGTCCCTCATGTTACCACCTGCCAGAGATGTCACTGGGTGGCATCTGTGAGCTCCACAGGAAATACCGGGGGAAATGTTATGAGAAGCAAGAGAAGCATGGTTCTGTGTCTGCAAGCTAATCTGTTTCATGTATAGATTAGTCTGAACTGAAAGAAACCACCTCCCAGCATCAACCCAGTACCAACTCAGGGACCAGCTCTCAGGATAACAAATTACAACACGAGGGGGCATAAAATCAGATGAGCTAAAACAAATGTAAAATCAATAGCTATGATTTATGGGGACTATGTTTGATGCCATTCCATCTTTCTTTAGAGAAGGATGTTTTAAAACAAAATAGATAGGATGAACTATTTCTTTAATCAAACAACTGTCTTGAATGACACATTAATCCCTAAAAGATGGCTCCCTAAAAATATCTTGCTCTGTACCTTTGAGAACGATGTTCTTATGGCAATGAGAATGTATTATAAATTATTTAGACTGCTGCAAAATTTGGGGGGATTGAGAACAAATCTTTAATCTGAAAGAAAAATGATCATGGGAAACTCATTAGGATTATTCTAGCATTACAAGTGAGGAATGTGTAATTAGGACACATTTGTCAATAAGAAGGTACTTTAGTTAGCTTGATGTTGATAAATGAAGCCAAGTGTCTACATCGAGACCCCCCAGTGCTTCCTCCATGATGTCAGGACAGCAAAACTGAGGGAGGGGCAATGGTAGCTTGCCAATCGCCTGTCACAAACAAATTAAATTTCCAATTCTTCCAAGTGAAAAATGAAATCTCAAATGACTAATTAGAGAAATTACTCTTACCTGTCTGATGCAATAATATCCTGTTTATGGTGCCCCTTCCTTAGAGACTACAGTGCCTTTAGTCAATCTACTTACATACTCAGAAGGAGGGAGGACTCTCTCTTAAACCAAAAATGAACTTAAGGCATTTTTCCCCTTTTGCTGTATGCTCTTTGGGGGCTGGGGTTAACATAGGTACAGAAGGCGTTTTTCTTGTTACTAGTAAGGTACCTTATGTTCCTGGCCAAGTACAAGCTCTCTAAGGAATCTGGTAGCTTCTTGAGACCAGCTGGTACAGGTTAAATAATTACACAGTTTATAATTCAATTAAGATGAGGCCTTGTGTTTCAGCTGCTTTGTGCCCCAGGAAAACACCCCTTGGCAAAGTCTCACCCCCTCTCCTTCTGTTTTGTTCTGTTTTTCTTCCAAGGCAAAATGTTAGAAAGAGGGAATTTAAGATGGATTGTGTTGAAATATAGTGATAAATTCAATAAGGTCGCTCACTGGGCTTAATGATATATATTTGATTAACCTGGGTGTGTTGCTTTCTGCATTTTCAGCCATGTGCATCCTAACTGCTACCTCTCATCCCAAAGTGGGGCATGTCAGAATCTCTGAATTATTAGCTGTACGTTCAGCTCTTCCTATGTGACCTCAAAGGTCCGTAGCATGCGGTAACTCGTCATGTAATAAGGTTTAAATTGGAGCAGCGCAGGTGGCCTGGTTGGTGTGGGGACTGAGTTACAGTAGGCAGAGGACTAGCCTCGCTGAGCCCCACCCACTGCCTCAACCTCCATCCCACGTGGAAGCTTTGCCTCTCCACCCCTGGCATACAGAAAATCACGTTTGTGAAGGCAGACATCTTAATTAATTGGGAATAATGACCTTGAAGAAAAGTCATACGCTGCTCCTGGTCATGAAAATTACAAGGGTGGTACAGCAATCTGAGAAAAGGGTGACGCATTGGCCAGAAAATCAAAGTTCTGGATAACGCTAAGGGTATAGGGAATGTCGAATTCAGTAAAGACTCCAACCTACACTGTGAACAAATCCACCATCCTTTATAAAGACACAAGGAAAATGTCCATTTGTGTATTTGCTTCAGTAAGCACACACACTGCTCTTTGGATAGAAGATAAAGCTTAAAGAGAATGCTGTACGGTTAGGTCATGATGGGAAGTGTAGCCGAGGAAACACCCAATTCACAAAACCAACATGCAAAAACATTTTCATATGTGCACATTCAGGAATAAGCAAATGACCCAGGAAGTCTCCCTTACATAAGTGCATTGTATTACCATCTGGGAGCTGAAAGGGAGGGCTTCCCAGGCCCTCATCCCAGTGCAAAGGACAGATGGCCTTTCATAAGGAGCTGTCTAATCGCCAACCCACCTCATTCCCCGGACAATGGCCAGCTCCCTGGGCAACAACTACTGTCATTTTGGCCCTACCAGAACCAAAGCCAATGTGTCTTCCCTGTCTCTTGCCCCCAACCCACGCCTTTGTATTCTGTTCCCTTGATAGCTATTATTCTTGGGTGATAAGAGAGACGAGGCTTGCAGATGATTCAGAAGCACCATATTTCCTGGCTCTATGTTGCTCTAATTTATTCATTTAAAAAAAAGTCTTCCAGAGGTTATTCCCACAGAAATAGCCTTTGTGAACCAAACTTCACTTCCACTCCTCTATCATGTCTCAAGAAAAGCCCCTGCTATGGGTTGACCAGCTGCCTCTGCTTCTTCAATGACCCTATGTGTTCAATGTTTAATTCCACCTTCTGTACCTTTACTCCAGGGTCCTGTTTGCCTGCAAAGGCTTCCTGTGGCCAGGCAAAAGCTACTGTTCTACAAGGCCAGATGGTGCTCTGCTTTCTGCATGAAACCTGGCTAACTGCTTCAGCCCTAAAAGACTCCACTCTTCTCTGCCTTTGGTAAAATACTGCCTTGCCTTGTGCTCTGGTGTTTCCTCTGTTGTTTCCTAGGTGTTAGTGTTGGCTCCCCCAAGTGCCTGAGGGAAAGGACGGTGTCTTTGACTTGCATGAATGCATGGCACAGAGCGTCTTATTAACTATTTGACTGAAATATCAAGACTAGCACATGTCTGATTAATCCCTGGGCATAATATTATAGATGTTCAAAAGAGCTTTCATATTTAGGTACTAAGTGGGAATTTCTTCCATGCTTCCATACTTGGACTAGAATCAATTAGCTTTCTAAAATGCAAATTTGACTAAGGTGCTTCTCTGTTTCATATGCGCTACAGGGTAAAGCCTTAGCATGGCACATGAAAGCCTCCATGAGCTCAGGCTTATCTCTTACCATTGTCCACTTCTCTTTTGACTATAACCAAGTGAAATTTCTTATCGATCCCATGTCTACTGTTCTACCTGTTTATATCTTTATGCCATGCTATTCTGTCCACCTGAAACGCCATTCCACCCATTCCATTAGGCAAACTCTTTTTAATTCTTCAAACTTTGCTTAGGAAGCACTTCTACAAAATCTTCCCCACTCTCCCAGATGGAAGTAATTCCAGCTTTCAAAGTGTGGTGTCTGGACCAGTGGCATCAACTGCATCTAGGAACTTGTTAGGAATTCACATTCTTGGGCCCCATCCTCGAAACTCTGAGGGCAGAGCCCAGCAATCGGTATTTTTACAAGCCAACCAGATGATTCTGATGCATGCTAACATTCAAAAACAACTGCTTTATATATAGATTTTAGGCACATGTCCATTACAGATTCCATCACATGACATTTTGCCTATACGTTCCCATCACTGCTTTCTGAGGGTGTGGGCAATATTTTATTTGCCAAAGATACTGGGCACTTACTGAACTGAATAAAATGAATTCCCCGATGTAACCATGATTTTAGTGGCAATAATAAAAATAATAATAGCAGAAGTTAATATTTATATGGCACTCATCTTCCTAGAAAGGCCCATTATTACAAGTCTAGCAATGCAATCATGGTATATCTAAAAGAAAAAAATACACTTCTAATAGATTAATAGTATGGGTACTGGATGATGTCTTAGTCTTTTGTATGAAGAACAATGGATTCGGAGGTAGAAGATCTAGATTCAAGCCCCAGATCTGATATTTATTAACTGGGGTTCTGGACAAATAAATCATTTCATAGCTCTGGGGTTCACCTTCTTTACAGATAGAACACAGTGATCATATGAGATAATGCAAGTGAAGTCAGTTTGCAAGCAGTAAAATGATGCTGAATGTTTTTGTCTCTTCCCCCGACCTGTTCTCCATGTGTGTACACAGCCCTTCTTCCCTCCCCACCTTCATTCCTGATTTTAAGCTCAGTGGATCAAGATGTGGGAACTAAAGAAACCAGAAGAGGGGGCCGAGCTGGAACTGGAAAAGAGGAGAGCCCAGCCTGTCCCAGCCTATTCTTTGGCTTCTCTTTGGTCTTTCTTCCTCCAAGAGAGTCCACGGCCAAGGGCTAACACTGAAACTTAGCTTCGCAAACTACAGAGTTGATGTGACGTAAGACAATCCTATACATCCCAGCTTGCGCCAGTCGCTTCTGTCACTCTGCCATGCAAAATAGTTTGAACATGCATGGGATTCATAAAACAGTGCATGATTTCTACACAGAGCCATGAGGATCTCTGACCACCCTAGATATTGTTCAGGACTGAAAGGCTTTGGCCCTGACTCCAGAAAGCTGGAGCCAGTTGGGTGAACAAGCAGACATTACTCAAACAGTAATG